ATCCAGCCTTTTTATCACAAGGCTCATTGATTCAATGCATATACAATCGTTCCATCTGTTTCAGGCTGTTTCTCAATATAAAGTCATTAAGCATCCATTAGTTCACCTGAATCTTTGGTTTTGGGGGCTGTTTATCAAAGCTGCAGAGGGGTTTTATTACATTCACGCTCAGACTCAGCGTAAGCCTTCTCAGTATCTGTCATCTGTGTCTTATCTGCCTTCTGTAATCATTACTTTATGCTTTTTGACCTGCCCTCCTGTAAGTCTACATATGTGTATGAAAACAGAACAAAAATAACTCTTCATTTTTTTAGTTCTGTTTAAGCTTTTCTGACAAACTGTTCTGCCAGGGTGTCTTTTTTTTTAAACTCCACAGACTAACCTTAATGTGCTGTTTGAATTTACAAAGCCGTGCTTCTGTCTTATCTATTTCTGATACAATCAACAATCTATGAAGTTGGTGGTGTTGCTTTTTTACTATTTTGATGTATTTGAAGTGCAATCTGCAAAACTCCTGGCCAAAAAGAGGCTGTGAAATGTGCTCACCTTTTTGACTTTAAGTCATTTAAGTTTTAGAAATCCTTATTAATTAGAATCAGTCACCGTGACAGGACTTACTGAGCCTTCATCCTCTTGAAGGCGTCTGCTTTTGTTCACTACGTGACGTAAATGCACACAGGTTTTCCCTTTAATAACATCCCTGTTATTATAAACTAACCCCAGCTTGTTTTGTGCAGCGGTAGCAGTTTTGGGTCTAACAGCAAAGTGCTGATGACAGGGAAACCTTTCTGTCTGCAACACCTGACTGCTAGTGTAGATTACACACCCCGCTCCCAAAGGACCTGCCAATGGAAACTCAGACTTTTTAATTACAGTGTTGCCACTGGGTGGGAGAGTCATGAAAAGAATTTTGAGGTAAAAATGGGGTGACACTGCCTTTGGCCAGATTTCAGAAAAGGTGGGCAAAAAGAAATTATTTGTTTTCTTTGTTTCAGTTTGTTCTGTTTTTTATTTAATAACCAAGTCAGTCATGATTGTTAGAATTATTTATGCTCATGTTTGATTAAAATTTTCATGTTTGGAATTGGCAGACATTTCTTTAGCACCTGTCTCCTCATGAATAGATTAATCACAGACACTACTGACTGGCTTTATCAAGCTCACCTAGTCTGACAGTGATACTGGACCATCTGTTTGACTGGTAATGTAAATTGCTATTGATGTGCAGAGAGCAAAAATATTCAGACTAAATGTTAGATAATACAAATGTTGTTTCATTGGGAGCCCATAGAATTTCACTATTAATTTTATGAAGAGCCTTGACAAGCGGATGATGAAAAATCCTCTGCCGCACACTGAAGGGCACAGTCACAGTGAGTCGCAATGATTTGCATAGCTTAGACAACAGAGTAACTGTGCAATCATTAAAACATAGTGGGTGAGTTGACAGAGATGGACGAGGTTTGTTCCCTGAAGCAACCTGTGGAGTCCATGATGTGGATCTTTGATTAAAGCACCTTGAAGCTGAAGGCTGAGAGATTCCCCTGCTGTGAGAGGATTAAGTTGTGCAAGAGGTTGTGGGAGATGAAATGTAACTGAACTGAGACAAAATCATTGTGACGAAGGTTTATAACCGTCACTTAATAGTTGCTGATTTTATTTTACTTCATCATCATTTCTTCATTCGTTTATTTATGTTTATTTACAATTTTTAATATATGAGCAGAATCTTCACAATTGCATCACAGGATGTTTCACTGTTTGCTCGTGTTTGTATCCCATGAAACGTGACCCGTGGATTAATATGAGGCTTACATGCTTGCATCAAGGGTAGGAATATTTGAGATATGATCTCCTGATTTGCTGTCTATCAGTGTGTCTTTATATTTTATTTTTCTGAAGTCAAACACCTGTCATGCTGCTGTATATATCAAATTCTGCTAAAGAAATGTCACCAAATTCTTAAAACATTTTGATCAGCTTATGTGCACATAACACATGGTACGATATGTTTCCATTTGATGTGTTTATAAGTCGTTTGCAGCTTCTCACAGCTGGATCAGGGTCTACAAAGTGATATGCTGGCTAATTATAGGTCCAAATGTGAGTTTTTGCTCTGTTATCTAAAGTAAATTAGAAGATAATTACATTTGATACACTTTTACACAGTATTTCTCTCTCCTGCTTCTGCTCTTGCTCTCTCTCCTCCTCTCCTCTCTGCAAACAGTACATTATTAATGCTGGAAAATGAGCCTCTCCAAACAAATCACATACTGTAGCATCACACACAATATTATTCATTTGATGTCAGCCACTTGTCAGAATGACTTGATTAGAAGTCTGGTTTATATATTCAACATCTGTTGTCATTTCCCAGCCCAGGATTTTTTTTTTTTTAAGTCTGCCATCTTGTGTAGCGTCCATCCTCTCACAGCACATTTAGTAGCCACTGTTGAAGAATTACGAGTGACCATCAGTATCACAGTCACTCGTATAAAGGTTTTTTCTGAAGTACTTCTTGATGCATTTTAAAGCTGCAGACAAACACTTTAGCTTAACTGATAACTGATACTGGTCCTGATTAAAATCTTGATTAAATGAGTTGTCTCTTATAGAATGGCAATTTCTCCATGAAGTCGCTTAATGGTTTGATGAGTATGAAAATTATGTGGATCATACGCTGTGGCCTTCAGTCACCAGATCTCAGCCCACTTGGGCACCTATGGGAGAGTTTGAGTGATGTGTTAGACAGCGTTTCCACCACCATCATCAAAAACATAGTGAGGGAATATCTCTTGGAAGAATGGTGTTCGTTCCTCTAGTAGAGCCCAGAGACGTGGGGATTTAATGCCGAGGTGCAATGAAGCTGTTCTGGCAGCACATAGTGGTCCAGCACCTCACTAAAACACTTTAGGTTGGTTTCTCCTTTAATTTGTCTCCCGTCTGTATCTCCAGTAAGTTAATACAAGCCAGTATATCAATCTGTAAATCAGTTTAGCACTAATCAATGATGATGGAGCTTTGTTATCAGTGTTAGCAGTGTAATCTTGTCTTATTAGCTCCAGTTAGCATAACCCTTACAATTGTAGGGGTTTAAAGTGTAAAACAAGCAGCAGCAGTCATTGCAGGAGATGCACCTGTCAGAATGACAGACGCTATTTCTTTGTCTGTAGCATTTAACAGGTCTGTATCTGCAGTTGCTTATTTGGTATGTTGCCAAGAGCTATATCTGACAGTCAGGATGCTTTGCTGTGAGAGATTTAAGAGTCTGTTCTGTTGGATCTGAAAATGTTGTAGGGGTTTTGATTTGATCCATTTTTAGACACAACTCAAAGTGTAGCCTGGTCCAGTAGTTGTACAATATATGTTATCACATCCTAAAAAAATTTGCATTTGCTAGACAGAACTACAATAATTGAACTAGTTAAAATAAGGTAAAAACAACAGCAAGAACACTGGGGCAGTATAAAATAAAGAATAAAGCCACAAGAAACATTGCATGACAAACATCTTCAAAAAAATAACCCAGTAGTTCAGTAAGGCTGCAGGTGTGTGTAGTCTGATGGAGCTTGTAACCACTATTTTGCTGAAATTGCTCACGTGAGTTAAATTATTATCACACACCGTCATTTGTTTTCGATCAGTGAAATATACACCTTTCTGGGACAGATCCTCATGTGCATCTTCACTGACATAAATCACAGATAATCAGGCCTTTATTCATCATGTTTGCCTGTATTAAAGTACAGCGATGTAGCAGAGAAGGTTTATTGGTGATGTAATGACAAGACAGTTAAGGTCTGCACTGTCACTGGGTAAAATGGGCCATGGATGGATATCAGCATAATTACCCTCCACTGGCCAAGTTGTCCTTGAGGAGGAAATGAACATTTCTCTGTTATGTACAGGGTCAGCCGATGTGTCCTTCAGATTTAATACATGCCATCACAATGGTGCAGACACACATGGGACACATATGCTTTACACAAAAGAGGTGCATACAAACACACAAATGAGCATCAAGAACATCCCACAAACCTTCAGTCAAAGAAGGTTACTGTTATTATTGGCATCATTATTAATCTGTTTGAAGCATGACAAAATACATCTTTTCCAAGTGTCAGTAATGGCCTTCAATCAAATGACCTAGTCTGTATAAGAACACATAGAGCAACCCTGTCTTTGTCCACTGAGCCACACCAGGGACAGCACTGCAGCAAAAGCAACTAGAACAAATCCACCGTAAGAGGAAAAAAAAAAAAAAACTAAGCCTGTAAGGAAATAAAATAATATTCCATCCATCTGTTGAACAGATTGGTCCCCTGGCTGCCTCCTGATCTCAAAGTTTTCTTTGTTTCCTGAACTCAAAGTAATTATTGTCATTTTGGAAAGCGACAAAGGATTTATAAAAAAGTAATGTGGGAAACCCTTAAATTAAAAAAGCTATTAAAAGATTTGGCATATGATTTAGGTGGAAGAATTCTGAGCCTTTTAATCAAGCTGCTGAAATGCAAAATACAGTGTACAGCTAAATGATTAGCAAATAGTTCAGCTAAAAATGCATGTTTAGCTGTAGCAGGAGTAAGAAAGAAAGAATAACAATGGAAAACACATTTCCAACATTTCAACCCAAAGCACCATATCATTTTTAAATTTAATACTCTGTAGTCCTTCAAGTCTGTTTTGCCCTGTTGGCAGTGTGACCATCTGTAGTGTTTTCCTTGTGGTGTTCCGTTTTCTTTGCACATTGAGTGAGAGAGACACCATATAGTGCATGTGTGGTGTGTCTAGGTTATAGACACCCAGCGAGTCTAACTTCTTTCTACAATATAACGGTCTAAATTGACCGTTATATTGTAGAAATAAAGTGTTACTAAAAGTTAAACTTCATCAATAAATGTGAAAATAATCATGACCCCATGTCAGGTACAAATAAAGGTTTTCATTTATTCACAAATCCTTCACAAGTTTGTGCAACTTCTTCCTTCGTCTTCATCCAGGCCCCTCAGCTTGGCACTCTGATGGGCGTCTTTATGCCGTGCATCCAGAACATCTTCGGTGTGATCCTCTTCCTCAGGATGACCTGGTTGGTGGGAATCGGAGGTGTCATTGGGACTTTTGTCATCGTCTTTATGTGCTGTACCACAGTGAGTATTTTACCTTATTCATTTTGTATAATACTGTACACGGCAGCAGATGAGGTACTAGTAATGAGTCACTAGTAAAATATATCAGATGTTGATTATCGCAGACTGGCATTGACAAAGAGAAATTTAGTTTCCCATTGATACTGCAGCTATCGCTTTATTGCTCTGTTTGTGCTGGTTTAAGCCAATGTGGGTAATGCTGCAGCGTGGTGAGCAGCATTTTAAAATGGTTTTTACATGAATGAAATGAGGTTTCTTGATTTGTCAGATGTTTAATTCACTGGGTTGGACAAAACAGCAGGTTATTCTGGTCATAAAAAATTTAAATATACATTATACAGTGACATTACACAGTGCAGTATAATTTTTTTTAGGATTTTCTACCAAAATGATAGCCATTATCTTGCCCATAATTCTCTTCTCTCCCAGCTCCTCTGTGGAGTTCAGAAAACACCCTCACACAGAGCCTGACTTCCTAATTAGTTTGTCTAGTCTCTTCTTGTCTGAAGCTGAGATGTAATTGTTCTGCACACCACTGCAAATGCAGACTTTAAATAACTTTATTCTCCTCAGAAGGCAGAAGCAACTCTGTTCTTAAACAAGGCATCCATGTTGTTAGTCCACTTAGCAACACTAAAAACTGTAAGCAGTGAAACACCTGTGAGACTTAGTGTCTTTGTGGCCCAGTCGTTCCCCCTGAAACTGTAAGTCTTGAAAAATTGGTCACAATTAGTAATTTCCTAAACCACCTGGTCATTAGTTTTCAGCAGATGCTACTCAAACAGGAATAAATGGTGCATTTATT